GACCTACAGATGCGACATGGTCGACTACAGCATTCAGTGCACTCTGTAGGCAAGATCGGACAGATCGCAGATTCCTGGTAGGGCCCCAGTTCCACAAGGCGACGTCATCATTGTATATGGAACATTGGACCGGGTAGCGCTGGTCGGAATGAATGACAGCTCGAAGGCGTGCCAATGCGATGTTGAGTAAGAAGGGGCACAGTGCAAAACCCTGTGGCACCCCTGTCAATACCGGTTGTGGAGAGCTGAGCGCGCGACCTGCTCTTACGCAGGAAAATCGGCCCGACACAGAGCCCTGCACAAAACACAGCATGCAGCCATGCATGCACAGGGCTGCCAGTGCTTGCATGACTGCCAGGTGCGGCAGGCCATCAGAGGTAGTTTGCGCGTCCAAAAGCACTAAAAGGGCCGCTTCTTGCATGCTTCTTGCATGCTCCAGTAATGAGACGACGTCACTAAGCTAGTCTTCTGTGCAGCGGTGGCGACGGAATCCAGTCTGCTGCTCGGGAAAGCAGTCTAGGGCCCTAGAAATTTATTCAAGTTGGGCAAAGACCATTTATTCTATCTCCTTGCAGGCGGATGATGTAAGAGAAACAGGCCTGTACGATGAAGAGGTCGACGCTGGCTTACGTGCTTTTAGTATCGGCACGATCATGGCAGTAAGCCAAAATTTTGGTAGTTGTCCGCTGTACCAGATGTTATTGAAGTAGTGAAGCAGCTGGGCCTTCACATTGTCTGCCAGATTGTGGAGCATCTAAAACGTAATGAAGACCACTCCCGATGCGCTTCGCCGCTTCGACCGGTTGAGAGACGCGGTCAGTTCATGGGGCAGGAACGGTTCGTTGCACAGGGCTGCCACTCTCTCAGTGGTAAAAGCAGGGTGGGGTATACATACTAGTCTGTCAAAAAGCTGGGCCTCTGCTGGTAGCCCTGGTGGTCTTGTTGCAAATTGGCTCGCCATGAGGTCCGCCAGAGCAAGCTCCGTGAGGTCCAGAGAGATGGACACGGCCAGTATAGGTTGAAAGATGGCTGGCCCGCGCTGCAGTGATCGCAGAAGCCGCCACGCAGTTGAACTGCGTCGAGAGCTGGAGATGGTACTGCAGACATCCTCCCAGCTTCGCTTCCATCGTCGGTTTGCGTGGCGTCTACAGATGGCGTCCAGCCGCCTGAAAGCTGTCCAATTTTCTGCCGTGGAACTGCGGATGGCACAGCGCTCGGCCCTTCTTCCGTGGCCTGCAACTGTAGCTGCTTGAGGTCAGCATCAGGACCTCCGGGCTTGGTTTTCGACACGACGGTAGCCACTTTAGCACTGTCGATTACATGCTGCAAGAAATGGCCCTCCTCAGGAGTCGCACTGAGTCGTCGAAATATGCCCCAGTTGACCATAGGATAAACTCAGCCCCTAGGGGAGGGCACAGTGTTAGTGTTCAGAAAAATCGGAAAGTGATCTGTTCCCCAGGTGTCTGGACTGATGTACCAGGTGCACGCACAATTCTCTGTTTCGACACTAATGTCAATAGCAGTACGCACGTCTCTGCGCACAAAGGTGGGCTGCCCAGTGTTCAAACTTTTGAGGCCTGCTCGAAGGATGACATCCGCAGTGTCTTGGCCCCGAGCACAACAGCCGTCTCCACCCCAGGCAGTATGGTGACCGTTCAAGTTCCCGCAGAGGAGAAAATTACGGCCCAGTCAAGCAACTAGGGGAAGCAGGCTAGAAGCGTCCCAAGGTTTGTTGGGACGCACGTAGAAGCTGGCCACAGTGGTGTTCCAGGAGCCTAAACGCACTTTTACAGCATTACATTCCAGCGGGCTACATCTGAGGTCCTTAACACGGACTACCGTGTGTGCGATAGAGGTACGCACGTACACGGCACATCGGGCAGCGTCTTAGGGATGGCCATCCACAAGGCATGGCTCATCGGAGCATCCGGAGACAGTGCAGGATGTGGTACTGCAGTAGCCAGCAAATCCAGGCAGCTGTGGAGTCTCACTAGTGGCGTACACTTCCTGCAGAACGAGTACATGGTACTCGTCCTGGAGCAAGCGCTGTTTAAGTTCGAAGTGTCGCCACCGCAACGAGTTGGTGTTCCACTGGAGAACACGGGGACGGCGGCTGGGCCCTTGACTACCCATGATGGCTGGACGTTTTCTGCAAGCCACCAGCCCGGAGGCAGATGACTTTTCGGTAGACTGTCCGATGGGAGTAGTTCACCGACCGCTCGCGCTATCGCGGCAAGGTCTCGGCGGAAAGCGCCGCAGACGGTGTAACAGGAGATGCATTGGAAGCAGTACTAGATGGCACCGAATGGGCACTGGCCTGCTGGTGGGCAGGGGTTTGTACCGGGCGTGGTGCATCGGAAGCGGCCTGTGCATACGTTCGCGTAGCTGCGCTAGCAGGTGAGCCTGTCAGCTGTGGATCATTTTCTTCCTGTATAGAACCACAAAGAAAGGAGCATGAAAGAACAAATCTGACAGACGTATGATGTTGGAGAGGGAAGCACGTCTATCACATCTCCGTGAGGAAGCACTCGGACGCGCGTGTGACAAAAGCAGCCATACTCAACATGTAGCGTCGCATCACGACCATTCCCTAAACTTAGGAGGACCAACGGCTCCCGTTGAGAAGGGGTGCCCGTTTGCACAGGCATTGAAATAAATAAAGGGGGCGTCGTGAAATATAACTGTTAAGACATTTATTTCACTTCTAAGCAAGTTCATCGTCGAATGGATCATGCATGCATGCGCTACCTTTATTATCGATATGTCAGGCATCAATCATCCGACGTGTTTCGAGATTCCTATGCTTATACAATCTTGCGCATTTGTCAAATTTCGACATGTTCTTACTCTCGATAATTTAAAGAAAGATTCGAAGATGAGCCTCCGGTTAGAGAACTCTTATCTTTCTAATGCAACTGCCCGTCACGTGGAAGCGGCTGTGGATAAAAGGAAACAGACGTCGTGTTTCTCTGCTGGACGTGCCTTCAGTGAGAAAAATATTGCCACCTTTCTTTCAATGTCTTCAGGAAGCCGACACGCACCAGTATTTGCTTGCAACGGGAGTCAATTCTACCGGCCTCCAGCAAGAGTTCATTTGCTGTTTCCCTGATACAGAGAGTGCGTAGGATTTCCTTCAGCGAAGTTGACCATACCTTTGACCTGTCCAAGATGTGCAACAAGCTTTCGGACAATGAATGGCCTGTTTGCTTTGTGCGTTCCGTAGAGTGCCACACACAATGAGCATCATCGCATGCGGTGCAGCCCCGAATTTGTGTAGCCGTCCACACTATGTGAAGTGCTAGTGAAGCGCTAGCACAGATTCTGCGGATCGTTGACGTACACGTGGCGCATGTTCTTTCTCTTAAATTGAAACATGAACTAATGCGTGTAAAGGCAAGTTCACCATCGTTTTCTACTGGAAACTACTATAAACAATTGTTTATTGAATTCCTGTGCAGAGTGGCTGTGTTTATATCGGGGAGAGCTGAAATTTCAAAAGATGGCTGAAAGATCATACGAACGACGTCAAAAAGGAGGACGCCATGCCCAACGCAGTTGCAGACGCGTGGCCACTTCCAGTCTCGACATTGAATGGGCCAAGGCAACCATAATAACAAGGGAACGTAACTAACAGTTCCCGCCAATATCTGCGATTTCTTTTAATCCAGGCTACGAAAAAAAACGCTGAATAGAAGTGTTGGCAATCCACCACCAGCGTAGTCCGTAAAAGAACGTGAGCCGCATAACCAGGTCACAAGGTTTTTTTTTTTTTTTTTTTTGAACAAGGCTTCTGAGAATCCGAAACGCCGCTCTCACTTTTTTGTTAAACCTTTTGCTTTTAGTCGATGTTTCTTATTTTCTTTTCTCATTATGAATATTTCCGACCTGGTGATTCATCGTCAAATTATCTCCTTCAGCCAAAAGTGTCGTCAGCTGATTTAGTAAGATATACCGCATTCCCACGATGCACTTAGTCGCAGAAATACTGTGGAGTTTACTGACCCTTTAGTATCTTCAGAAAGCACATCGCCGGTCGATAATGTGAAGATTGTAAACTGAAGTTTATCTGCAAATACTACAATATTTCCAATTACCGCAGCAAAGCCGTTTAGTGTCATGCATCAGTCATTTATATCTCTTGATGATACCGGTAGCATATATTTAGTCCGCTGGCTATTTCGCATACGGCACACTCTCTTCTTATGCAGTGTTTGGCATATAATGTGCTCAATACATATAACCTTCAGGCTATATTATAACTTTCTTAGTGCACACAAAATACAGAATAAGAAAGAGACGTACGAGCGCTAACTCTCAACTAAATTATTTTTGAAGGCACAAAACATATGAGTACCTGGGAACCAGCATAGCCCATGCGCGGGTCATGTGACAGACAAGATATAGCTAAACGGAAAATAAAAAAAACGGTACTTCTTATCTGTTAGAGTCACCAAAAGTTGACTGATGCGTTTGTTTGTACGCTTATTTATATGCAAAGCTTCCATAAGCTCGCGTGTTAGTTTATCTTTATGTGGGAACAAAATATCAGTATTGTCAGATACAGAATCACAATTGCATGATTTGCAGTTATCTGACAAGTGTGAAAATGTTTATTTTCCTAGTTAGTGTAGCATGCTCTTTTATTCGTGTTTTGATGCAGCGGGCAGTCTAGTTTATGCACACATTTCCGCAGGTTAGTGCAATCAGATGTACCAACCCTTCTCGGCATTTCGGCTATACCTCTACAAATGATGTAATAAGTATGCTTTTTATAGTTGCAAGACCTAAGACAACTGCATGCTTCTTTATGCTTGGTGTGCGTACGCGTACTGAGGGTTAGGATATGCAAATAACGACGTCGGCACGTCAATTTCTGTTTTTCAATATAGAGCGTTCTCACTCTCTCTTCGACCCTTTTTGTTTAACGAAAGATGTTTTGCACCACAGTCGAGTGTACCTTAAGCAAAGTACTAAAGAATAGTTTGGCTTTTCTCTTTCAGACGCCAGTTACATTCGTCCAGTGGTTGTTATCATCGTGCTGTGACAAAAGAAGGCAGCAATCACACTAAAAGGCAGATTTGGGGATATCTGCGCGTTGACGCAACGAATCTGTTTACGTTCACGTGAAGACAGGCCAACGCGCAGCTCGCTGCTTACGTCACGAAAAACGTTCGAGCACACTGAGACTAAAAGATTCTTTTCAAGAAATAGTTACAAAGGAGATGTTACCCTTTAGACCTGAGGGGCATAGAGATGCGTTAAGTCGCTACAAGTGTCACAAAAATTGCTCACGTGCTGCAGCAGGCCTCGCCATGAAGCCCCATTCTATGGTGACCCCGCAATGTCGGTTTCAGTAACGCGGTTCGGACGCGCAACGCCGTATACCAAGAGAATGCTTACAACGTGACCTGCAGCTTCAAGTGTGTACAAAATGGTAAAATATGCTCTGGTGATGACCGGTGTGCGAGGAAATTCGGACAGTTATGCGGTGAATGAATAAACTTTAATAGACCTTTTTTTTCGATGAATATGTGGACCTGCGGTGAAATCGCGTACCCGAAGTGTAAGCCGGCAATAAAAGGTAAATCTCACTTAGACTCCCTCACGAACAATACTATGTTTTAGGGCTCACTCAGACTAAGCCTCGCCAATGTTTTGCTCCAACGGACTCACTAGAACTGAGACTCGCCTAAGTATTATTACTCACTATGGCTCACTCATAAGCATGTTCACGACCCGATCTGAGTTTGAGTAGGTCGACTCATGTGTGAGTTTGCCGACCTTGTGACCCGAAGCAGTGCAGAGTTCCCACCAGCGTACAAAGTGAAGATCTGGAAGACCGTGAGCGCTCACATTTGCTAGCTGGGAGAAGTGAAGTTGATGATGACAATCAATAAATGCTTATTGCCGGAACAGTAACTTGGAGCAAGTCTTATTATACTCTAGGTAGCAGGTTACCTCATTCCATGAACGCCGTCGTTTTCGCAATGGCATAAGAGCAAGCCGACGTTTTTTAACAAATCCTGGAAAGGGTTAGAACGTCAGCAAATAAACGCCGCACCTGATCATTAAAGCTATCTTGCATTGCATGTGGGCATGATCTTCTGGGAGAGGAACGTAGACACAGTTTGGCAATACCCCTCTTCACAAGCCTATAGACTGCGTTTATTTGCTGCCGAGTATTTTTGCATGTTAGTGACGGCGATCGCAGAGTTTCTTCTGCGTGATGCCAAAGCAGCCCATTCAAGCGTGAACCCTGGCCTGCATCGCAGGTGGCGTCCAGAGGTGATGCCTTATATGCATCACATTTCCCACAACTTGAAAAAGATTGCGAGCACAGGCACGGCGTGCCGATGGTGTTCTCCGCCGCGCGTAAGCTGGCTGGGCTTTGTCTCAGAATCCAGCGGTTGCGGAAAGAAGCAAGCGTTTGCGTATGTAAAATATGCGACTGGCGTCGTCTACGAAATGTCGTTGTCTTGTTGGAAATATTACGTAGGTCTTATACAGGGCGTTGCGGGAACGACCATGCAAGAGAACATGAGCGTTCACTTAGAAATAACGGGAACACGCATTCACCCCCACATTGCCAAGTTTGCGTGTGCTCACCGGTTTTCAGAGAATAACAAAGAGTTTGGGTCGGAGCGCTGATAGCCCCGCCCGCGAACTGATGGCAGCCTTTCATATTTCTGCAAGAGGCAATTAATGCTTGTGTCAGCGATTCGTCAATTTCGTTATTTGATGGTGAGCGTGATTTTATGCGCGGCTTGCTTTGAGTTGTTTGGTTTTAACCATGTGACCTCTTCACTGTGTTCTTTCGTGACTGTATGTTTGAAAGGTGAGGAATAATAAAATGCAGCTGAAAGTTTGCGCTTGACCCTGTCATTGTTTGTATTTGAGCACACCACTTTACTCTGTCTTGGCAACATTTGAGTTTTCTCATCTAAAGCACCCTCGCAAAAATCAATAGTGCTCTTTTTAAACTGCGTAGAAATTAATTACGAGACTACGATGCTGAATTCCCCCCCCCCCCCTCTGAATTTTCACTTACACAGGTATGGCCTGGTACAGTCACCCGTATGGCACTGAAACAAGAGCGAATCTTTGCACAATTTCCTTTTAACATATAGGTTATTTGCGAACCAAAAAAAGACGCTTAGAAGAACCTCTCTGCATTAGGATGGCTTTCAATTTGTCCTTCTAGGTGTTTTTTTTTTTTTTTCAGCGACTGAAAAGGGTTTTAGCCACAGGAACGTCAGCGAGGCCGTACGCGATTTCTTAAGAGATACAAAACGAATAGAATGTTAAGCCTAGGGAAGAATTCACTTTATTTTTAACGCTACTAGCTTCTAGGTTCTTTTCCTTTCTTTTATTTTATTTGTATTCTATGTTTTACCAACGTATTCCTTTTTAAAACATCCATATCTAAACCTACTCGGCAGGTAAAATGAATTTATTTTTAAGACAAGGTGCCGTCCGCTTCGTGGTCATTACCCAGTGGTGGGTTCCGCCAGTAATTTCAGGACCAACCAAGCAACCAGTCAGAAAACAGACCACCGGTTAAAAGAGGGATACGTCTTGGGCGCTGCGCTCCTTGTCGAACGCCGCTGACGAAGCAGAAATATGTCGCGAAGAGGACTCCGGCCACCTGCTCGCGTGGTGCGTTAAATTTTGTGGCTGACTGTACGTGACCCAGCAGAGAATCTGCGGAAAAAGGAATGCGCCGTCAGATTGCATACTTCGGGAAGCTTCGCGTTGGGATTCGCCACTTAGTTAACATGATCGAGTGGCACGTGGTTTTGATTTGATTGATTGATTTGTGGGGCTTAACGTGCCAAAACCACCATATGATTATGAGAGGCTCTGTAGTGGAGGGCTCCGGAAATTTCGATCACCTGGGGTTCTTTAACGTGCACCCAAATCTGAGCACACGGGCCCACAACATTTCCGCCTCCATCGGAAATGCAGCCGCCACAGCCGGAATTTGATCCCACGACCTGCGGGTCAGCAGCCGAGTACCTTAGCCACTGACCATCGTGGCGGGGCGTGGTACGCGGTGGCGGGCGCTCGCTGCAAATGGCGCTCACATTAAAACAGTTCTGCTTGGATTGTGTGCAAACTTTGCTTGCTCCTTATGGTGCCCTTTGGAAGGTGCATGAGCTAGCGAATATATTCCTGCAAAAATCAAAGCGTGTGAACACATATTAGCGCGTGAACACGTGGTAAAAGCGCAATAGAATATTTTGATGCTTGCTCCAGCCCACTCAATCACCTCTTATAATGCTGCTCTTGAATAAAAAAAAAAACTAATGTAGCGTTGACCAAGCGAGCACCACAAATGTGGTTCTACCCCCTGGTATCCTTCTTGGGACGTGATACGCAACATAGACATTTTACAGCCCCATGCTTATGTAGGCACTGCATATTTCGTCACGTGACTGTGACCATCGTTGGACGTTTCCTGAACAAAGTTTGCTCACTTGATTACCACAGCACCAGCAGGAGCAGTTAAGCCCCAGTTGCGCCCTCCACGGTGAGAAGGTAGTGTGTGCACGATACAAGGCTACACGCCGTACACGGTTAAGAACAGTGAAGTGAGAGAATAAAGAACTACCGCACTTTTCCAAGAGATAATCGAATGACTAGGGTTTGAAAGATTGTTGATTGATTGAATGGTATGTTATTGTTTCGTGAATCGATTGCTACAAATATTTCTCCAATTCTCTAAGAAAAACCGGAGTTAATGTGATTGTCGTGCTTCAAGCACTTTCTCTGATTCCGATGAGCGCCTGAAAGCTAAGCAGGAAGAAATGGCAGGAGAAAAGGAAGTTACGTCATAGCTAGTCATGAACTACAGCTTGCATGTTCAAACGCATTCGCTATCGCCCACTATATAACTCCTGTGCGCGACTGCGTCAACTGTGTAATGTTGGCAGACTACAGAGCGAGGACCAATACATGACTTCACCAAGTGACAAGGAGCCCGTTTGACACAAATGGCACTATTTATGTTGCCTATTTACCAATAGCATGCAATCTCTTGTTTGGCGTCACAGAGCAAGCACCAGCAGCTGAGACTAAAGAGAGCGCAGGCCTCTGCATGAAAAAATAGTGCCCAATAAAATGGCACATTCGCGTTCAGTTTATCAACACTACTTCAGTAAAACTTGCAGCTGCACTAATTAGTTCATACTTCAAGGTAGACTTGTGTGCGCTAATAAATACAAGGACACAAAAAGGTCGAATAGGGACAGGCGCAAACTGGTTTGCGCCGGTCCCTGTCCGGTCTTTCTCTGTCCTTGTCTATATTTGCAGACACCAGTTAACCCCTTACGCATCACGGTGACAATGTTTGGCTGATATGTTTAGAGCAGTCTTTCCTATCCGCAGGATGTGTTTCTTAGCCAAACACTACGGCTGACTACCGGCCCATCGAAGCGTGTTTCACACAATTCAGTTCTTTACGTCTTGCGGGAAGTCTGGTACCCTACTGAATACTTCATATATTATCAAGTATTACAGAGCTTCGCCTTCCAGTTTTCCACAGTCTAACACAGTGATGTAGCCAGAGAATGGCACAAAGGTCCGTGGCAAACTGGCCACAAATGACAGTAGACCACGTCTGCAAAAGAAGACCGATCCCCCCCCCCCCCCATTTTTTTTTAATCCTGCCAACGCCCCTAGGCATGCTGTCAAACTGCTCTTTCACAGCGTAAGCTGTTATGAGATCACAACTCGGGTCACGCGGAGTTGTCCACCGCCGCCGCCGGTGTCGGTAGCCGCATCGCACGAATTTAGAAAAAGAACCAAGACAAAGCACCAATGACACAGTGGGACACGAACCCGGGTCCGCTGGGTGCCAGCCCAGTATTATACCACCGAGCTACACCAGTGCTTACGACTTGTTGTCAGGAAAGCACTCGCGGTAATACGACTTATATAGCGTTTAAAAGAGCGAAGAAACAACCAGTCGTCGCATAATGCGAATAGCGTAACGAGTGGGCTGTCTAATGCTCCTACCCATCACAAAATCTTGTTCTTGTTCCCCTATTAACTGTGGCGTATATCCACTACAGGCATAATTCCTCATCATTGTCAGCCACTGCAGGCACAAAATTTTTTGCAGTGTTTAGCGAATACAACGCTTCTTCGAATAATGACAAAAAAATTGCCCGCAGCTTCCCTCGGGGGAACACTGAGGAGGATGCGGAGCATATAATTGGTTAACGGGGTGTAAAGTGCGACTTACTTGGGTCGATGGCTCAATTGGTTAACGTGGTTGTGAAATGGGGTGTTATATTGCGACTTACTTGGGTCGATGGCTAAATTGGTTAACGTGGTTGTAGGAGGGGGTGTTAAATTAGTGAACACGTACACACGTATGCGAAAGGGCGGCGCTGGTCAAAGGGACGTCGATCTTTGTGTTTGTGGATTCGTTGGAATTCATTTCACCGCGACCTTGGACGTCGACGCGCCGTACAAACCAACCGACGAGCGGCAACTGAGCGAGCGAGCGCCGACCTTGAGTATATATACAGCGCGACGGCGCATGCGCTGTCAGCTGTCAATGTTCTCGAAGGAGAAGCGCGCGCGCGGCACAGATGGCGACGGCGCGACGGCGCATGCGCTGTCAGCTGTCGAATGTTCTCGAAGGAGAAGCGCGCGCGGCACAGATGGTGGGCGACGGCGCGACGGCGCATGCGCGCGCGTCAGCTGTCGAATGTTCGAGAAGCGGTGCGGACGGCGCGGACGGCGCACTACAAGGCGCGAGTATAAGATGCTTCCGCATCTAAAAACAGAATAAGCGAATGCCTACCTACTACCCAAATGAATTTATTATGGTGGGTATCCTATTTACCTAGTGGGTATCGAGCAAGTGTGCTTGCAGTAGTTACCCAATGAGTGTTTATAAAAGTACAGTGTCTAGAAATATTTCTAGGCACTATAATAAAAGGCTCTTAAAGGCTGCTCTTCTAGCTTTTACTGTGACTGTGCCGCGCCTCCCACGCAGGCCTGGTGTTTTTTTTTTTTATACCACAGGAGCACGCTAGAAGATATCGGGGGCATGACAAATGAGGTAAAGAGCTCTACCAGATCCGCTCACTATTGAAGGCCTGCACGTCTGGGGCCGCATAGATGATGCTTGAAGCTGTTGTTCCAGCGCGGCATCAGTGGCTCACTGCACTGCCCCAAAACGGATCCGATAGTTTTTAACTGAACAGTGCGGCCGACCACCATGCCATGAAGCTGAAAATTTTGAGTTGTTTTTATCTCAAAACGCGTTTGCGAACTTACTGCATGATTGCACTGCGCGCTTGTGTAGAAATCGCGTGAGTTTGCCACACCAAAAGAAGCCTTCATGTGTGCATTTGCGTGCCGAGTCACAGAGGTGCGCGCGCATGATGGCTCCATAGCACGCTACGCAGAAAGGCACCGGCCTGTGGCGGCGCCCCAAAGCGGCTACAGGAATCTCGGCTTGCGTGTGTGTTCGATTTCTCCTGAATGCACATGCGTTTTTTCTCTCTCTCTCCCTACACCCTCTTTTTATCCCCTGTTCCCCTCCTTCAGTGCTAGATACGAACCGGACGCTCATATCTGATTAGCGTCCCGGCCTACAACTGCATCTCTCTTTCCACTTGTAATTGTGACGTGAGGCGTATGGCTGCAATTTTTCCCATAACTGCTCGTACCAGTGTTTGTATACGCATAATGTTCAATTTCACGGAGCGCTAAGAGCAGTTCAAGGCCCCTTTAGATTCGAAATCTCAATTTTTCCCGCAGGCGCTAACGTTGCCGCCAGTGAATGAAATCAGAAAAACAGCAAAATTTTACCGCTACATAAGCAAACATGTATGCAGCTGCTGTACACACGGTCCCCTCTTTCACTATTGTGCTTCGTCGCTGGATTGTTCCAGCTGCCTCTACTGCAATGTGGTCAGGTCTTTGTTCTCGATATATATATATATATATATATATATATATATGCGTGTGCGTGTGTGTGTGTGTGTGTGTGTGTGTGTGTGTGTGTGTGTGTGTGTGTGTGTGTGTGTGTGTGTGTGTGTGTGTGTGTGTGTGTGTGTGTGTGTGTGTGTGTGTGTGTGTGTGTGTGTGTGTGACAGAGAGAAAGAACAATTGATCACGCTCATTCCTATGCAAATGATGGCGCCTGAAGCCAAGTCAGCAGCCGACATAGACGGACAGTTCAGAATTTTGTATTCAAAGAATTGTAGGACGTTCCCAAAGGGCGAATCACACATTCTTGTAAGTTCACCTAATGATGCCGTCGACCACAGATGTGATAGACAATGACGTGAAAACGCAAAGACTTCAGGAAAAAATAACTCTAAAGAGTAGCGGACTCCGCAGGCAGTCGGCGCTTTCTGTAAAGGATTCCTGGCACTGGCTACGCAGCAACCTGTGGGTACTGCCTCTGATTCACACTCACATATGGCTGTCCGCCGGGCAGTCTTTGCTGCAACCGTTCTTTCCACCCTTGGTAAGTAGCCTTATGAACGCGATTCTTATATTCATTGGCAAGGGTCCGTAATGCCTTCTCTTCAGCAATGCCTTGCACGGGGCATTCATCTGATTTGGTATTTGCGTTTGCAGATATACGAGAGAAAGAATTCTGGATGTCAACTCTGATTCTTTGTTCACTTTTTATTGTTTAGGATACGGCTATATTCTGTCTAATGTCAACTGATGTGTACTAAACAACTTTTATAATAACCTCGGAGGTGTTAACCTGCTGTAAGAACTACACCACTGAATGAAAGATTATGACTTATTTTTTCTGTGTGTTCGCCCGTATTGTTTGCGTGTATATGCCGTAGTCATCCCCAGACACCATAGAGAGGTATTCTGTACTTCGATATTACCTGAAGTAAGTATAATTACAAATAACAAGTTCAAAAAGAAAACGGAATTTTTCGAGGGGTTCGTTGGTGCCCTCGAACGAACACTAGCTACCACTTTTAAGGGACTATATTCATGTTGATTCCAGTTGTAATTATTGTCCAATTTCTAAACGCAGAACAACTCTTCTAAAACAACACTGGTGTCCACGAATTGTCTAGTGAGATTAAGTTTAACATCAAGAGCATCGGAGAGGAGAAAACGAGTCACATATAGGGTTGCGCCTTTTTCTCATCATCTGCCTTGGATGCGATATAGGTCGATGCAAATAGTTCTTTAATGCGCACTGACATCCCACAATACACGGGCACTTGGCCTCAATCGAGGGGTGGCCGCCATGGCCGGGATCGAACCCACGACCTTCGGGTTAGCAGCCGAGCCTTCTCTACTGATCCACCGAGAAGGTGCTTCTCTTGCATGGCTGTACTCTCTTCCCGATGATCATTACGATAATACAAAAGTCACGGCATTTGGCAAGGTATTTCGTCCACCAAAGTATCACCGTTATTACACGATGGCAAAAGTTTGCTTGAGTGTGCCGCAATCGCTGACACATAAGTAAGTTGAAACAAAAAGAACATTACATTAATAAGAAAACTAGATCTAATTTTTTGTTACTGGTGATGATACCCATATTCCAATATAAGCAGGGGTTAATAATCCAATAGAATGCAATAAATCTCAAAGTAATGTCGATTGTTCACCTGTCAGTTTAGATTTTGAGTTAAATTTACAAACCCTTTGAAAAATTGCAATAGAAACCCAACTGTCCAAACAGGGGAGCTAGGTTATGCACCACGGTATAGGCTTATGCGCACTGAGATGCGAACTGCACATGACAATGCAAACTCACCTGCATTGACAGTGTGGAGAAATCTTCATAACACAGCAATACTCTATCGGCAAATGGAATTTATCTATCAGCAGTACTGCGATGCTAACTAAATACAAATAGATGCTAAGAACAACGAGTGTCCGGAATATTATGTCGATCAAAAGATAATCACAAAGCCGGTCAGGCACTTACCAATAGATGACTTTCCAGTGTGCTCCCAGCACATCATGAATAAGTTGCAGGTAAGTAAATTGAACATTCTCGAAGCTAGCAAAGCATATTGAGCGTATTGAGTAAACGTTTGACTCTGGCATGGCACTGCAGTTACATGATTACAAATAACCTTTCTCATCTAAGTAATATTGACTCCGTATTTACGCTGTTTGCCAGGTTCAGCGTAACGTAAACGTGAACCAAACGTATTTACTATATATATAAAGGCAGAAACACGCCTTTAAGCCACTAATATCTGATCATCATTTTTTTTTCTTTCTGTAGGCTTCAACTAAAGCGATTCCAGCTTGGAAATGTGGTTTAACGTTTTCGTCATTTAAGGCTTTTATAGCAATTGGTTCCCTCTCTTCACAAAGCCTGGTAAGGATCCCCTTCTGCTTCAAATTTACGATTCAGCTATAACATAAATATTGATTGTCATATGCACTCGTGTTCACCATTTTGCGCAGAATGCAATACACAAGTTCAATTTGTTGTGGATATGCATAAGTTAAAAACAAAACACTTTTGATGCGCGAACATGGCTGCGACGGAGTCCACAAATACCTTAAGCTGTGAAAAAAAAAAAAACACTACCGATTTCTATCAGTTTACAGCGCGCATCTGACGTATTATTCATATCAAGCCTCTAGATAATAAGTTTCCCACACTTTTTCATTTAGCGAAAACGCTATGCGCGCAATTGTGGCCGGCATTGACGTTAAGCTTTTCGGTAAACAAGTTGATTGATATGTGTGGTTTAACGTCCCAAAACCACCACACGATTATGAGAGACGCCGTAGTGGAGGGCTCCGGAAATTTCGACCGCCTGGGGTTCTTTAACGTGTACCCAAATCGAAGCACATGGGCCTACAGCATTTCCGCCTTCATCGGAAAGCAGCCGCCGCACCCGGGATTCGATCCCGCGACCTGCGGGTCAGCAGGCGAGTACCTTAGCCACTAGACCACCGCGGCGGTGCTTTGGTAAACAAGTTTCGCGCAGGAAAGTATAATGATGAACTAAATAGTAATCAGTTATTTTCATTTAAAATAAAATTATTACTAAACTTTTGTTTGGTTGCGGCATATAATCATTAACACAACAAATTTTTCTGCAGTTCTTACAGATAAATATTCAGGTCCAGTGTGGCCGAGAACATACGTACTAGCAATCTTTATATGTTGATCGTCGTCGTTATTGAAAGTTTAAATTTTCATTCAGGTGGCTTCTAACATGCACCCCATTTCCGTACAATATATAAACTTCATGAGTGGCCTATAGCTTTAATAAACACATGTATACAACGTTTGTGAAAGTTTCTAGTCGCGTCTACGGCATCGCCGTAAAAACAGGTCACAGCTAGAATACAAATGCGTGTGCAAGCAAGCCTTCTCCTACATACTTTGTTTTCTATCAAGGTCAATAGGAGGTCCCACATCTGGTTCAGATCAGGTGTCGTAGCACTAACCAAATCTATTTTCAGGCAAAACCAAGAAGGGTGAACAGTTTGTCGCAGTTCGAAGGTGCCCACAACATAAGTGAGGGGTAACCGATGCAGTGATAGACAGTTGTATTACTTATGTGTCCAACTATCTTCAAACACAACGAAACACTATAGAGATGAAAATTCATGTTCGTAAACTGGCGGATGAGTTTGACGACAGCAGTACGCAGAAATAATACCCGTGTGTTTCCTACCCTTACGACTCATTTTGTGCATGTTGCGAGCACCATGGTTCAATAAAGGCTGGTTAAATTTCGACATTTCTGCAGTGTGTAATATGATTTCTCGTACCAAGAATTTGTGTTCAACAATATTCGCTACCAGCTTAGTTGAACAAGACTGAAGCTGATATCACATAGTAGCGGTTATCGGTAAGTTTCCGGATAATCTTTGGGTAATTGTACCCTTCGCAAATAAAACCGCTACTACCAGCTTTGTTCACGTACACGAACAGAGAAAAAACAGGCATGACTGAGATGAGCTGTGAATAGAAAAAGCAGTGGGCACACAAACTCATAAAGAAACACACTTAGGAATGGCTGTGCTCTCTGCAAAATCATTCGCGTTAATATGGTTGACTTCTTACTAAAAGAACACGTAATAAGCTATTTATTTTTTGTCATTGCAAACGAAAGTGTTTTATTTAGCACTGAAACCTTCTGCGTCGATGTACAATTTTACGAACCTTAAGAAGTAACCAACGGCCGCTAAACTTGGCAGGCGAATGGACTTTTATTTGTTGGGTGAACTTTTATTTTAGAATATAGTACGCGTGGATGATTTCCGCTTATAAATGTTTTGTTTTAGAGAAGCTTTATTTACGCAGTCACATTCACTTTTGAGCCAAAGCCTCGCTCAACACCAGCCAACGCAAGCCTCGAAGACACATATACCGTCATTCCCAGCGCTCCAACTTGAAAAAATTCGCATAGACGGTAGCGCCACACTTCCCTCCAGGTATTTTTGTGAGAAACTCAATGACGCTACCACCTTTGCCGACTTTTCAGTGACAGATAGCCATTCATTCTTATGATGATACTTTTTAGGTCGTGCCAATAGTCTGAGCCAGAACAGCTTCGTTGTCAATAACGATGCGACTAGAAGAACAGGCAAGGCCAATCGCAGGCGAGATGTTTGTTTCAGAGATAATGACCATGAATTCTTTCCAGTGGAGAGCAATATGGGACGTTTAGAACATGCGCATGCGTCTTATACCCTATATAAAACGATGAGGTGCTTTTCTACGGATATAGTTGATCTCTTTGTCGCTTAGCGCTATCGATGGTAACAGTGTAGTTAACATAAAACAGTGATAAAATTGAGAATTTTATTACGAGCTAAATGATTAATTTTGAACTTGTAAATGTGCATTCGGCACATTAACTAAAGGTGCGGATAAACAGAAATATATTTGGAAAAATTGCGCTTTCTCTGCGCTTATCTATTGCATGAGTAATCAATCTTGGTGAATAAAACTCATGTTAAGATTCTCATCCGGAGTGCATGTGTCATTCATTATCCGATGCCACTCGTGAGAGTGTTAAACAGCTTCACTGGCCAATCCTATATTCAGTAATTACTGTCAATCTTCTTTAAATATTTTTTAATTATCTTACCGTTGCAGATAGAATGGACATCCCCCAAGTTTGCGTATCTATTAGGCTTGACAGGATTCTTCTTGGCCTGCGTATGCTTTGCGTAAGTAGTGCATAGAAAGTAATAATACGTAATCAGATATCGAAAAGATAAAGTGTCTGGAAAGTTCCACGCATAAATATGGTACCCAAAGCAAGCAATAAAGCCTTGCTTGAAAAAGATGTTAAAGATCCTTGTAGGTAGTCAAATTACTGGAGACCTTCATCATGACATATTTCTTAATCATGTCTTGATTTTATGATGTATCATTGTTCAAAGAAGGACGTTTTTTTTTATCACGTCCATAAGCTTTCTTAGTGCCGTACTGGCTGTTGTAACGAAGTAATGATAATAAGTCTCTACAACACCAATTATAAACAAGCGTGCAGAGTTTGTTTGGACGGGCGGCAAAATTGGGATCATAGCAAACATTGGATTTCTTCCCACCCAGCGATCTCTAACACCGATGTATAATGCGGCTGCGCGTTGCGGTAGCTAACTGTCGATGACGTCACACGTTTTAGCCTCAATGTCAAACGTTCCATTCAGTCGTAGCTTCCACATTTGATGCAGGCATACATTGCATTCTTGTACGCTTAATAGAGAACTTGTTTAGAGCCTAAGTATGTGGAAAACATGTTTCACCTAAATGTATTTTCTTTCACCTTCACAGTCTTCTTTACTGGTGCCCCGATGCCGCATCTCTGCTTGGTGGATCGATAGCAGCAGCATGTCTAGGTGGATTTACAGAAGGAGTGTATATAGTCACGCTTTATGCAATGTGCACTGACACCTTTCTTCATAACAAAGGAGTAATAATCGTAAGCGATCGCCAGTTTTATAGTTTCTTTTTGGTTTTTTTTTTCTTTTTTGAGGATTGTAGGTTACAGTCACAACCCAAAAAAAGATCGGAAAAGGAAGTGCCAGATAAAGCTGACGATCAATGCAGTAGGAAGTACCGCGAAGTTGTGCAATACCAAAACAATATTTTTTCCAAGTGTAAGCTCTGCGGATTCGACAGAACGCGCCCTAATTATACAAAGACCACAACCACATTCTTTATTGACATCATAATATATCTACACGCTGTGCTAACAGAAGCCAATGACCCACAACTTAAGTAAGTTGCGAAGCTTATTCCAAAATTCTGGATGCCTTCTGCAGATGCTCATAGACCTAGGCCATGGAATAAATTCATAATGCTTTACATGTAGCCACCCAACAAGTTCTTCAGCTGCAGCGGCAAGGTAGTCTACTTCCGCAACAGCGTTAGAAGAAAAAATGAGGCCCATTTTGGTGCAGCAAGAGAAGAACGTGCTCGACCAGGAAGCTCTAATTAATCAAAAAAAATTTGGGCGGAGACCTGTGGTTTCTGCAAAAGCAAAAAAAAATATATTTCCCTTGTAGTCGTCCATTTTCGCGCTAATTTGGAACGCCACATCAGATAGTGAAGCCCGGCAACCTTTCAATGGCGGCGACGCCCGCAAACGATGCCTTCACTATGATACCTCAAAACAACGGCTTTCGAAATTTGCAGACGTTGGGGTGTAGATGTGCATTCATCTGTATCCTCGTTCATGTGTTATATGCACATAAATGTGTCTAACATGCATATTTCGGAGTAGGGGGGGGGGGGGGGGGAAACCTTCTAGCTGATGAGCTAACCATACACAACTATTTCCAGCGATATTAGCGATAGATATGTGACAATTAGAAAAATGTGTAATCGATCCTATATACACACAACGCGTCCTCATCAAATCATCACAGAAAAAAAGTACAGTTCATGTACTTGGTGTTGTGTTGGACAGGTATAGAATGACAACCTTCATTGTTTACACGCTAGCGCTATTTACAAATAATAACAGTCGACACTGAATCTTGGGGCTGTTTAGACACGCAAAATTACGAGGTGTCGTCTGCTGAAATGTTCGCGAAATATACCTATCAACACATTTATAAAAGTTTCTTTTTAAGGCAACAATGGACGGCATGTATGGAATGGGGTGCATGCTAGGTTCAGTGGTTGGTGGCACCCTTATCGACGTAAGTACAAATGTTCATCTTGTCCACTCTTATCAATAGTGCAGTTTCAGTAGTTCAAAAGACATATATCAGTAGGTTGCATCAGCAAGGGTGCATTTCAAGGAATTTCCGAGTGCAGAAGATCTGCAGCCAATTTTTCAAGAAACTGATAAAGAGCGAATGGTCCAGTGGCATGCCAATAATGGGATCCTTACTTGTTCCTCAATGAAATGATTGACTGTTTTTAAATAGTAACCATTGCCACCGTAGAAAAGGCGACCACCCCGTCTTCCAAAATTTGCCAAAAAGTACACGGTCGACCCTTCGCAGAGCCGCGCAATTATTTCCTCAGTAGCAGTGTGAATATTAGGTGCCATATTTCATGCATCATCAGTATTGAAACCTACGTACAGCTTTTATGAGACCAACAGATCACAAAGGTGGTTTCCAATCAACCAGTACTTACTACACCGTCAGGACTAACTGTATTTTTACCTTCCCTTTAAAAAGGCCAGTCAACAGGCTCCGACGTTTTTTTAACATCCCCCTAGAGAAGCTCGGAAATTCGCAGAGTAGACCGCAGTGATCACGTTTTCCTAATATTCCAGCCTTGCGCGCCGAGCACAATCTCCATATCAAAGAATAATTCCCGCTCTCCTTTCCTACTCAGGCGAATCCTCTTTTCACGAACAGTGCCGCAAGGTCAGCGATCGGTGACTTTACGTAGCATGTAAGTCGTCATTTCATCCAAACCACTCGCGACGACGGGCTACGTCTTTCCCTCCCTATAAGGGGGAAGGGTGGCGAGGCAGCACGAAAATTCGAAACCAGCTGAAACAGATGTTCTAACCCCTGTAACGTCCTTAATATAGCCCGTATTCGCAAAATTTATGCGGCAGCTTGTTCAAAAAGCAAAAGTTCACATATTCCATTTTATTACAATTTTCGGGCCTCCCAGTTGTTTACTGGCTTTTTAATAATTCTTGAAGTTTAACATCTCGGAATCACGATATGATTATGAAAAACGCCGTCGTGGAAGGCTCTAGAAATTCAGACCCCCTGGTGTTCTTCAACGTGCACCTAAATTTATGTACACGGGGCTCAAGTATTTTTGCTTCGATCGAAAATGCGGTACTGCAGCCACAATCCGATTCCGTGACCTGCGGGGTGAGCAGTCCAGCATCATAACCACTAAACTACCGTGGCGGGTTTCACTTGGCTTTAGCCGCCATCACTCGCATTCCCTTCTGCTGGCTAGTCAACCAGACATTCACTCGCATAGGGTCAACTATGTTGCCTTCTTTGTTTCTTCCCCCATAGTTGACTTGTAGTTATCGCTTATATTGTGTACTCTCACGTGCCACTACGTAAGTTACCATCTGTACTACCATCTGTACCATCTGTATTACGTACTCAAATATTGTATCTCCCCCCCCCCGCTTTTGTGCAATTGAGCACTATGGGTGCTATGATAAGTAATTAATAAATTAATTTATTAAGTCGTCCTCGTTTGTTGATCAAAAAGTCATTGAATCGAATCTCCTCCGCGTTTACCACATTTCAATACAGGCAAGATTTTGGAGCCCTATCAAATTAAATTATTGTGTGCTCTGAAGAGCTCTGTATTTCAATAGTACCACACTACGACGCCCCTGAAAAACATATCGTAGTATTATGACTTAAAACCCCCAACAAAATTTATCGTTACTTCTCTGTTTCTTTGACGAGTATCAATATGTGTATACTCGCACGTTTCATTTTTTTATCCTTATTTGTGAACTAGAACGTTTTTGTAACAACATAACTTCTGCATTTCCCACTGCTAGAAATTTCGCTTATTTCAAATATGTTATTTGAGTCGTCGGAAATCACACCGAAATACGTTTGCTGCTTTTTTGTCTTACATAAAAAACTGTAGATGCCAAGTGAATTTATCATTATATAGCACACTGACAAAAGACAATCCTAATTTACCTTTACATATTCCTTTTCAGCTGTGGGCATTTCCTTTGCCGTATTTTGTGTGTGGCATCCTGCTCATGGGTGCAATGCCGTACTTCTTAGCGAAGGGAACAGCTCCCCAAATTCAAACGACAGGTAACATCTTAGTGACTACGCCAGATACAAAAAAGATGTCTATTTTCTTTACAATTGCTTTCTAGAGACTTAAGTAAAGAAACCATGCATTAACTGAATAGGCTTTAAAACTGAAATATGTTCAACAAAGTTCTTTTTCAGCAGACGTGAGATAAAAACTTGTGCATCCTATAACAAACACAACCAAACAAACGCAGCAGAAATAAACACACTGCGCTACGTTTGATAACATATGCATAAATTCTTCGCTTGCCAACTATCCCAATTTTCTGCGTTAAATACTAACGCAAAAGCCTTGTCAGGACAACAAAATGATTAATAAATTACGCTGAGAGAGCTTCAGAGAAATAAATGGGTGACAGAAAGGAAGGAATGACGCTATGAACACGTTCACTTTTTGGTGCAGTGCCACGCTAACCGATCCACTCAAGCAGGCCAGTTGAACTTAAAAACAACAATTTATTTTAGAAACAAAATGACAGACAGTGATACCGTAAATGGTCTATCTTGCCGCATAAACTGAGAAGTTCTTCAAGCTTTTTGTAAATGCATACAGTGCATTTCCACCGGAATTTGACCTGGTACAACGTGGTGCCTCCGGGCTTTTTTCTTTGGTATAGGAAATATAAAAAAACTCAAGTCCTCAGGAAACTAATTTTTTTTTTGCTAAGCAATGGTTTAACCAGCAGTTATGCTTTTGTCTCAGAAGAATACCCATGGCATGTACAGCAGGAACAAAAGTGTTCAAATGTCTGCCCAAGAATGAATTTCGAAAATGTTCCATAAAAAATTTTTAATATTTGATTTTTAATATCTTCAAGGCTATTTCAAACGTTTGTCCAAAGTTCATATAAGTCTAATAAATGCCAAATTTCAAATATAATACAAAATATCTAGGCGTTTGTTTTTTATTAACAACAAGGAAGGGGGGGGGGGGGGGCAACCGTATCTGCGCCCATTGAATTGCTAATAAACTCCCCTTAAGAGATACCCAAGCGTAATAACTTGCACGTTACAATGCAGGGCCTCTGACAAGCAACTTAAAGACCCAGCTGGCTTATTCTCTTTTCGAGAAATCAGTACGTTTTATGCGATCAAAATGGAAACGCGCGTCTTGGAGCCTATAACGTTTGGAATCTGTATGCACATCTTACAAAATGAACACATCTCTTTTTCAGACGCATCACTGTCAACGAAGTCCATATTGCAGTTGGGCTACTACAGACTTCTTGCTAATCCTCGCTTCATGATCAACATGGGTTCTGTGTCACTCACATTTATCATGCTTGGATTTTACGAGCCGACACTAGAGCCCTACGTTAGGCAGGTAAGTATCTATCATCTTAACCTTAGTCATCATCATCAGCAGCAGCAGCAGCAGCAGCAGCAGCCAGACTACGTCCACTGCAGGACGAAGGCCTTTCTCATGATCCGCTAGTCAACTCGGTCCTGTGCTTGCTGCTGCCATTTTGTACCCGCAAACTTCCTAATCTCATCTGTTCACCTAACTTTCTGTCTCCCCCTAAGCCGCTTGCCTTCTCTGCAAATCTAGTCAGTTATCGCTAATTACCAGCGGTTATCCTGCCTATGTGCTACCAGCCCAGCCTATGTTCATTTCTTCTTGATTTCAACTATGATATTCTTAACCTCGGTTTGTTCCCTGATCCACTATGCTCTCTTCTTGTCTCTTAATGTTACACCTACCGTTTTCCTTTCCATCGCCCGCTGCGTCGTCTTCCAATCAAGCTGAACTCTCTTGTAAGTATCCAGGTTTCTGCTCCGTAGCCAAGTACCGGCAAAATGCAGCTGTAATTACATTCTTCTTAAGGATAGTGGCAATCTACCAGTCATGATTTGAGAGCGCTTGCCGAATGTGCTCCACCCTATTCTTATTCTTCTAGGTACTTCAGTCTCATGGTTCGGCTTCGCGGTTATTAGCTGTCCTAAGTAGACATAGTCTTTTACAACTTCGCCCCGCCACGGTGGTCTAGTGGCTAAGGTACTAGGCTGCTGACTTTCGGGTCGCGCGTTCGAATCCCGGCTGTGGCGGCTGCATTTCCGATGGAGGCGGAAATGTCGTACGCCCGTGTGCTCAGATTAGGGTGCACGTTAAAGAACGCCAGGTGGTCGAAATTTCCGGAGCCCTCCACTACGGTGTCTCTCATAATCCTAAAGTGGTTTTGGGACGTTATACCCCACAAATCATTCAAATCGATCTTTTACAACTTCAAGTGCGCTATTACCTATCTCAAAGTGCTGTTCCGAGTATTATCACCCTCAGTCCATTCTACGTCCGTTGCATTTCTGAGAACATCTTAAGTTCACCCCTCCGTGTAACTCTCTCCCATCGCCAGTGTCATTTCTATTTAGTTGGTATCCATTTCGTCACTCTCCCTGGCCGCCACCTGCCACTACTGTGCATAACGTGGACAGCAGTGGTCCATTTCTATGGCTGAATGTCAACTAAAAAGTGGGCAACCACTGTTTGGTCTCTGATATATTCTCCCTGTCTTCCAATCAATTAATCCGCCGATAATTTTCCTCGTAACACATATTGCAAGTATTAGCCCTAGGTACGCCATGTGGGGGGGGGGGGGGGGGGTCGTAGGAGGCACTTTTCTTATTCGCCTATGAAGGGGAAGGCGCAATACCTGCCTCCTTCATTGATCTACTAAGGCTGGCACAGCGATGGCACCGTCCCCATCGTGAACCTCGCACAAGCCTACGGCACTAGCATTTCCTCAAGTTTCCTTGCTTTCCACAATGTTTTAGCCACATATGTTATTAGCGATAACTTGCAAACAGTTAGCACTATGGTTCTTAGAGATAAAGATAAAGTGGTTTTTAAAAGGTCAGCCCTACGCTAATTCTTAATGTTCGGTGAATTTTTTTTCGACCCGGTAGGCTTCCCTGTTACCTAAAAAAATGAGCTCGCTGTACGAACTCTTGAACAAATGTATCAATCGCTTTCTCACTCTTACTTTTTCTCTATCTCTTTTCTTTCTATTATTCCACCTTTCCCCCACCGCAAGTGCAGGGTATAAGCAACCGAAATAAGCTTGGTTAACCTCCCAGCCCTTCTTCATTGATCTCTCTGAATGCCACTTGCTATTTTTTAAACTCTCGTTCTTTTGCCAAGCTACTGAGAATAATCTTGAATTTTCTTCAGCATATTTATTGTTGGCCATACTTTAGTAATTTTCTGTGTATGTACTCGGCCATTATCGCAATTCGTATCCGTCATTACTGCACAGCACAGTCGTACCTTCAAATAGTAGGTTGTGTACATATCTGCCTATCTTTATTCCTTTTTTATTCCAATCAAATATTTTGGATTTGCAATTCTAAGCAAGAAAAACCAAGAAAAAATACCCAAGAAAAAAAAACAAGTAAAAAATACCAAGAAAAAAAACAGATTGCATTTTTTTCTTACCCTGCTTTTGATAACAATATTTTTGCTTTTAAGGGTACCTGTAGGGCGTACATAAGTAATTTAGGCTTAAGAGAGGTTTACAACCACATTAGAGCAATCATTTACGCTGTAACTTCTGGCAAATCTTGGTGCAAGAAAAATTATTGTCTGGTAGATGTTCGTGACATACTGAACTTTTCGCTAGAAGAGGTCGTGAAAGCTTTCTTCTCGCAAAAAACATGATTGATTGATTGATTGATTGATTGATTGATTGATTGATTGATTGATTGGTTGATTGATTGATTGATTGATTGATTGATTGATTGATTGATTGATTGATTGATTGATATGTAGGGTTTAACGTCCCAAAACCACCATGTGATTATGAGAGACGCCATAGTGCAGAGCTTCTCAAATTTCGACCACTTGGGGTGGTTTTGACGTGCACCCAAATCTGAGTACACCGGCCTACAGCATTTCCGCCTCCATAGAAAATGAATCCGCCGCAGCCGGGATCGGATCCCGCGACCTGCGGGTCAGTAGCCGAGTGCCTTAGCCACTAGACCACCGCGGTAGGGCCGGCACAAAATAGATTGAGTCGATAAGAGACAAGCGCTGCCTTTCGTGAAAAACAACAGTATTGGAATTAAAATTGGCTGTAATTTCACGTTGCATAGTCGCCGGTCGTCATAAGGGCATTCACGTCTCAGTAATGTAAACTTACTAGCAGCCTGCCACAAAAAAAGGAGCGAGTTTTTTTTTTACATATATCATAAGTTAATCTGCCCAGAACGCAATAAAGCACTTAGACATAGCTTTCATGGTGCTTATATTGTCAGGACGAACGAATATATTCTTAGAGATCACAAAATTGTTTCCGCAATCATTTCTGGCGTATGGCGTTGGCATATGTTTGTGTAAATATCAATGCACGAATGCTTTCTCACAAGGTTTTTTTGCCTGCATTTCCTTTGCAATTCGCCGCATTTTTATTCCTATGCATGCAATACGTATGCTACTCTAAATGCACACTTCTTTTTACTCAATGCGCGCGTGTGCTGCCGAATGTGCTGTGTTTATCTCTCTTCCCTCTCTGCTCTATATCTTCCATCTCCACCATCCCCCTCCCATGCGCAGGGTAGCAAACCGGCTGCCTGTAGGCTGGTTAACCTCCTTGCCGTTCTTTTCCTCCCATTTTCCTTCCTTCCTTCTTTTTACTCAAGGAAGGAGACTCTGTGCAAATTCAGTTTTACCTACATAAGCGGTGTCGTACACGTACAATATGCACAATTTTATTGAAAGCGTTCTCCTGCGATAAGTTCTGACATAGTACGCTGTTTGTTTTCGCCTCTTCCATGGCTATACAGTTTCGTTTGACCAGCAAAGGAGTGGGCACAATCTTCATGGTTACGTACTGCTCTTACTTTCTCGGAGCCATCACAGCAGGCGTGTCCTGTCATTTCAGGGTATGTGAAGCACTTATTTTCAATTTATAGCATCGTTGTAAATTAGGCGGTGATTTGCTTTCCCAGTTTTCCTAGGTTTGTGCAAGCAGATTTCACATTGCCAGACCACATTCAGCACTTTGTAGGAAATTTTGTTTTTTTTTAAATAAAATGTGTGAAAATGGCATAGCGATTCACCATCTAGCAAAACAATGCCTGGCTGTGGGCTGTGGAGGCCATTAGGAGACAGCTGGTTTGCTAGTCAAAAATGATTGTGTATTTTGACAGAACAATGTTTGTGGATACTACATATTAATACTACATACTACATACTGAAGTTTAACTCAAGAAAATAATGTGTTTTCATGAATTTATTTGGCTAGTTTAGCTCAGCAGAGCATTTTTGCACTCAATATACGCAACATTTTTTGGATGAATTCAAGTCAAGCGCATATGTATGCACATATATATAACACATATGTGTATGCAAACTTACTAGCCATGGTATATCATGTATATGCGAGAGATAGGGGTCACGTATGTACACTATACTTGCGAAGAAAATTTCCGGTCGTATGAGAAACCATAGATTTGCATATAACGTGAGCTCTAAAGCCATAAAGCACAGCATCGGGTGGAGAACATGCAGCAATAAGAGAAACGCAATATGAGGTAATTTCAGAGCATTGAACAGACGAAGACGAAACAGTCCTAAGTAGTATATATGCTAAAATGTTGTAAAGTTTTTGTGTTATTACTGTGTGTCTCTCATCAACACATCTCGTTATCTTCCAAACAGCAGGAAGCATTCACCGAATTCTTGGGTGTGTTCATCTCCATCATATCTTTCCTTGTTGTTGGTCCAGCACCATTCCTTCATTTGAGCCCGTAAGCATATCTTGGTCGGCAAATGTCAGATCATTCGTAGAATAATATCAGCGCATTCGTTTTAGAAGTCGACGAGTGTTTTTCAACGTGTTTTCAGAGCTGCTTAAGCACTGCCCTACTTGGCACAGATTTTCATCTTTACAACGACGTGACCAATTTTGTGGCTGTGGCAGGACAACGTGGCGAATCTCTTAACTTTACGGCATGAGAACCACTGTTTTTCTTTTTCTTAAGGATCAATTAACATCGCCGGAAACCTGACGCTGAAGGGCATGGTGACGCAGTCGTAGATGGAAAATAAGAAACGTGTAAAATATAACGCAGCCTAAACAACATCACCAGCTCCTTCTGACCATACCTTACAACTTTCACTGTCAAAGATAAGCCCTAAAGCTCTTACCCAAATTGTGCGAGAGAGAAAGAGAGAGAGATAAAGATGCAAGGAAAGCCAGGGAGGTTAACCAGACGCACATCCGGTTTGCTACCCTGCACTGGGGAAAAGATAAAGGGGACAAAAGAGGTTGCAGAAAGATGAGAAGGTACACACAATCACGAGCACACTCGGGGAGCACGCACAGTCTACAGGCGGTCGCTCAGGTTTGTTGACTTAAGGTAAAGTAGCAGTCCTTTAGTTGCTTTCTGCGCAACTGAGGCAAATGCCCAAGGTCCTAGTATCTTCTGCACACAAAATGGTCCGGGGTCAAGTCGATTCAAAACCATCCTAGCTGGCATCGCTGTGTGTCGTAGCAAGCGCAGCTGCACAGGACGTGTTCGATGGTCTCTTCAGCTCCGCAGTAGTCGCATATAGGAGTGTCTGCCATACCAATGCGAAAGGAGTACACCTTTGTAAATGCAACACCCAACCAAAGGCGGCATAACAGTGTCGCATCGGAGCGGGAAAGTTGTGATGGTAGCTTTAGCTTGAGCGAAGGATCCAGTTCATAAAATTGACACCTTTGGAAGCTGGTAGACGACCAGAACGTGCGTGTGAGATCTCGAGCCAGCAGGTAAAGTTGTCTTGCTGCATCATTCCTTGATAGAGGAATCGGGACTACACGGGTTTCTTCATGGGCTCAGCGGGCTGCATCATCGGCTAATTGATTTCCGGTAATACCGATATGTCCAGGCAGCCATTGATATATAATATCATGCCCTCGTGCTAGAGCTTCATGATGGCAGTGTCTTATTTCTTGTACCAGTTGGTCATGACTCCTCCTACGCATGGCAGACTGCAAACTCTGAAGCGCTGCCTTCAAATCACAGAATATGACCCATTTTCCTGGACGTTCTTGAACGAGATATTGTAAAGCAGCCCTTATAGCAGCAAGCTCTGATGCCGTAGATGTAGTCATATGCGACAACTTAAACTTGATTGTCATTTCTGCAGCCGGAATTACAGCGGCACCTGATGAACGGCTGGATGAGACGGACCCATCAGTGTAAAACTGCGTTCGGTCTAAGTACAACTGATGTAATATTAGCAGTGTTGCTTGCTTCAATGCTACTCTGGAGTGACTGCTTTTCTTTTTGATTCCCGGAATGTCTAGACGCACTTGCGGCTGGTCGAGGCACCACAAAGGACGTGCCGTTCTCGCAGCTGGCGTATATCCTGATGGAATGCTGTTTAGGTGCTTGGCTATGACGTCTGAAAACGTAGCACGTGGTCTTCCGGAAGGTAGAAGGGCCAAGTGGTGGTCGGGGACACGGCTAGCATGTCGTATGTGCGCTCTGAGGCAATCCACAACTATATATGTCCTGACCGGATGGTCTTTGGCAAGCATGATTGTGGCATAAGTAGAAGCGCATCGGGGCAGTCCTAGGCAGATACGCAGTGCCTGACCCTGCAAACTCTCCAATGAATGAATATTCGATTTGCAAGTGTTAGTCAGTACCGGCAAGCTGTAGCGCAATAGACCCAGAAATAGGGCCCTGTACAGCTGTAGCATGGAGGCCACAGAAGTTCCCCATGCTTTACCGCACAAGAATTTCATGATATGCACAATAGATAGCAGTCTCTTCTTCAAGTACGCACAATGTGGGCTCCACGAAAGACTTCTGTCGATTATTATGCCCAGGAAACGATGCGTCCGTGCATATTTGACACTCTGCCCATTGATGTAAATAGGGTATGGCGTCATTGGTTTGCGTGTAAACGCCATCAACGCGCACTTCACAGTTGATATATTTAGGCCTTGTTTCTGAAGCTAGGCTGTTGTGAGTGTTGCTGCCCGCTGTATTCGTGCACGCACATGAGGGAGAGTAACTGCAGCACTCCAGAGGCAAATATCATCGGCCTATATGGATAGGCACACCGACTTTGGCAGAACCTTCACCAGACCAATGAGGGCCACATTGAACAATGTGGGGCTTAAAACACCTCCCTGAGGTACTCCGCAGTAGGTGTAATGTTGGGCAGTTGTACCCTCATATGTTTGTACAAAGAAACCCCTGCCAGTTATATAATCTTTTATCCATTGAAACATTCGTCCACCAATGCCCATTGCTGCGAGAGAAGTGAGGATGGCATCGTGAGCTACATTATCATATGCACCCTTCACTTCAAGAAAGAGTGCCACTGATATGCGCTTGCGACTTTTTGTTGTTGAACAAATGTCGATAAGTCAAGGACACAGTCAATGGAGGAGCGGCCCCGACGAAAGCCTGCCATACAAGAAGAGTATTTGGTGTATCGTTCCAAGTACCACTCGAGACGAAATAGAACCATTCTTTCCATCACTTTTTCGAGGCAGCTTACGAGGGCAATGGGGCTATACGCTGTCAAGTCCAATGGTGATTTTACCGATTTCAAAAGTGGTATTAATCGACTTATTTTCCATTCATGGGGAACACTGCCGCTGAGCCAGGAGTTGTTGAAGCATGTTAAAAGTTCTTTTCTGGCTTTTTGTCCAAGGTGTCCCAACGCACTATAAGTAATACCATCAGGACCTGGCGATGACATGCGCTTAGAAGAAACTAACGCACCTTCCAGTTCTTCCATGGTCAACGGAATGTCCATTTCTGGTAATCGCGTCTCAGGAACGATCACGGCGTCGATGCTCTCGTTCATAATATTCCCGGCAACTCTCGCGCAAAATTCTTCAGCAACCTCGAGTTCTGTTTTTCCATGATGGAGTGCCAAAGCTTTAAAAAAGTGCCGTTGTTGCGGGGAGGAGCGAAAACCACGAACTGTTCTCCAGATATATGACAGCGGTTTATGAGGGTCTAGAGATTCGCAGAATGCTTTCCAGCGTTCGCTCTTCAGTTTGTAAATGCGTCGTTGAATCTTTTTCTGGAGCCGCCTTGCTTCCCTCAGATCGTAAATTGATCTTGTGCGTCTGTATCGTCGTTCAGCACGCCTTCGTATAGCTCGTAATTTTTCCAGTTCGATGTCAAACTGTGTTATTTTTGACGAAAATGGTAATTTACATTTGGACGCTTGCATAGCTTCCGCTATGGTATTTTCCAGGCAGCAGGCGAGGCCTTCTTGGCAGGCGTTCTCAACACGCGATGCAAAGATCGACCAGTCAGTGCCAATTGCAACACCGGAAGAGACATTTTTAATGATACCATCGATCGTCACGTAGGTGGGTATGTGATCACTCCCATGAGTCTCAATATCGCAAAACCACTTAACTTTGTGAGAGAAGCACCGTGACACCAATGTCAGGTCAAGGCAACTGCCATACGTGAGACCCCGCAGATATGTGGGGGTACCATCGTTCATGATGGAAAGGTCGTAATCGGAAGCGAATGTAACAATGCTCCGGCCCCTGGCATTCATCCTAGTGCTCCCCCAAAGCATGTGATGGGCGTTGAAGTCACCGGTGATGATCCAAGGCTCATCGGTTCTCATTAGGATGTCTTTTAATCTGTCGCAGTCAAATCGCGGTGACGAAGATATATATCCACCAATAAGCGTGAACGAAACTGCATTCTTCTTCACACGAAGACACACGTACTGATTGTCGTCATTTGAACTTATTGGGTGCAAAAGATAAGTCAAGTCTGTGCGAATGTAAACAATTACTTTACTTCGTTCTTCGCAAGCGGCTGAACAAAAAGCTTCATAACCGGACAATCTATAAGGCGTTGGTACGTTTGGTTCACATATGACAAGTATAGGGAATTGATTGGCCCGAACGAATTGGCGAAAGTTCGAGATACGGGACTTCATGCCTCTGGCATTCCACTGAAAAATCGACGCACTTTTAACTTCAGTGCGAAAGATGAGATTTTGTTGAGCCATTGTGCTTATACGAAGTTAGAAAGAACTGGATTCAGTGCATCCAGTATTTGCAGTGCACTCTTACCAGACGGAGATTGTATGCCGCTCAGTAGCGTGCGAATCGTGGCAATCAATGATTGCACGATTGCAGCCACTTGCCTGTCTTGGTTGGAAAGATCTCGAACCGGGACGATTGCAGTCACTTGCCTGTCTTGGTTGGAAAGATCTCGAACCGGGAGCGCGGACTGGCCGTCATGAAGCTCCTTCGGTTCGCTTGTGCTGCTTCCCTTGGAAGTGCAGGCCACTCTGTCGCAGTTAGGGTATGCTCACTGGCTTTGTCCTTCACAGCCTTCCCCACGGCATGTGGTCTGGGAGGCAAAGGAGGTGGTACTGATGAGGGATCACGCAAACATGTCGAGGAGGTAGCGGGCGTCCTCGAAGACCGACGTCGACGTGAACGACGCCTTCTGACATTAGCTGCGGCTTCTCGATGAGATGAGTGATCGCGCACCATCCTCTTCAAGATGGCAATTTCCTTCTGAATCCGCGGGCAGTCCTTCGATGTGGCTTCATGGGATCCATTGCAATTAGAGCATTTCTTGACAGTTGCGACGCACTTATCCGCTTCATGGTGCTCGGCGCAGCGGTGGCATACCACCGAATTCTCGCAGACGCTGCTCACATGTCCAAGTTTCATGCATTTACGGCACTGGAGAGGCTTTGGAATGAAAGGCCGCACAGCATGTCTGAAGTACCCCACCTTCACGTGAGAGGGGAGTGATGTGCTCTTAAACGCAATCTTCACACAGCTAGACTTGCCTAGCCGGGTGACATCAACAATTGGAGTATCAGTTGTTGACTTGACAAGAAGTTGTAAGTCCTTATTGCAAATAGCGACATCAATGTCGTAGATCACGCCGGTTACTACATCACATCCCAAGGGAACATGAGAGCGCACCTGGTTGCCGTCCAAGTCAGTTACACTGCGCAGAACGCCCAACGCACTTGCGTGCAAAACGTCCACAGCCAGTATATTCTTTCTGGCGTTCACTCTTATGTCCGTAATCTCATTTGGCACGAGCGTTTCCAGAGACCTCGACACAGACTGTCTGTTAAGGCGTTTCATGCTGACGGTAGGAAGTGCAGGCAGAAACAGGATGGTATAAGTGTTCGATTTTGGCGCTTCACTTACAGTTTGAATAGTTGATGATGAGGATGTCCTCATGTTCCTTCTTTTCGCCTTGCGGCTCAGCACAGGTTGGAAACCATCATCTGAGAAGTCCTCACTGCTGAGATAGTAAGCATGAGTATCTTCACTGTCGCTGTCGCTCGCTTGTCCCATCCGCTTCCTGGAGGCGGCCGCCGCTGAAGTTGCTGGTGCCGGCAGGCGCCCGGGGTGGTCTACATCCATCCCCTCCAAGGGAGCAGCAAAAACTGATCAACAGACTTAAATTACAACTGAAATACGGCGGAGTTAGCAAGTAGCTCCTATTCAAAACAGTGAAAATAGTGAACTTATCATACCTCTAAAAAGTGCAACGGTAAAAATTGGAGTAAGCTGGTAATAACACGTCGCATATGAAATCAAGGCGTGCAGACAAGTACACAAACAAATTTTCGGTCTGAATTATAGAGTTAGTCGTACACACTTACGCAAACACCCCACTAAACAGACGAAGACGAAAAAAACAACATGCAGGACGGTATGTGTTTTTTTTTTTGTTTTCATCTGCTTAGCGCCTGTGTGCTTCCACGAATACAAACACACAAAAAAGCGCCAACCTGAGATATCTTTCTATTACATTCAAAATGAAGAAATAGCATGCTTGATGGATTGCCTGGCACCACACATGTGCCAAGTTGTAACGTGGCGCTGCCATTTCCCGGCATGCACAGATAGGTTCTGTGTCATGCTTCCTTTCACTGTTCAGTTCGTCCCATTACTTGGCATTTCTAGCTTGTGTTGTCTAGTTATGTTATCATAGGTACATGTAATTTCTTCTGCAATGATGCTAAAAAAGCCTCGCTTATATCGACGTTCACCAATACAAAGTCGTGTTGAATTACGTAAACATGTATGCAGTTTTTCTTACGCTTTGTTGACACGCGAAACACTCGGTATACTCACAACGCAGTAATCACTTGACTAAGCACTTACGCATGCTTTTATTTTTTACAGAGCTCTTTGGCTAATTTACCTGTCCCAGGTGTGCGTCGGCTTTTCAGCAGGAACACTGTTTACCAGTTGCTACTATAATGCATACAACGTCGCCTTGTAAGTGAAAACATTCTGCGTCATCACAGTCGTGCAGCAAAGGCTGAGGGTGATGTAACTCTACAATGCTACGTTCCTTCTAATACAGAGAGTGTGGCTACCCGGAAACGATCTCAACGAGCGCATTCATTTCAAGTTCCACTATATTGTTCCAGATGTCTGGGTGAGTGGACTAAGCAAAATTTCCTTCTAAAAAAGGGTGCATCCCGAAAGAGATAACGAGGTTTTGTACTCATGTAGACATATGGCGAGAAAGACTTACTATTCGGCGTATGTCTGATGAATAAAGACAACAGTAAAAAATATAGCAAGACGACGAATACATGTACACTTAGCTCGTTCCTCTATAGAGATAGTGAGAGATATGAACAGTATAATGTCAAAGATTTTTAGCAGGTGCTATAGTAACCAACTTGCTGCCCTGCAAATGGGTGAGGAAAGAGAGGGATAAAACTAAAAATAACAGGAACTCAACACGCGCACACATACAGAAAACATTATGATAAGGCTCATTCAGATAAGCTGGAGGAGCTCACAAAGAGATATAGCACTTTCAAAACATTCTTTTGCGAGGTTATAAGCATGTATTTATCATGTTATGTAAAATGCTTTGATATTCTTGCAATGAAACTTGATACAAATGATCAAACAATAACCGCAAATTCATCAAACATTTCTTTTAAAACAGCTTCGATTTCAGACTGCTGTCATCACTTAAAATTGCACTCTGTCTCGTCTCTTCTATTCCTTCATGTCGTATGTGCTGCTAAGCACTCTCCATCACTTAAAATTAATTATGCTAAAATAGATATTTCTTGATCATTTTTTAAAGCGCAATCGTCACCCCACCTGCTGCTGGTTACATCGTCGAGGCGATCGGCTTCAGAGAGGGCACCATGGTCATGTTCGGGATTCTTCTATTATGGGTAACATTACAGCATCAAATAATTACAAGCGTAAAAAATGCAACACAATACGTAAGAGTCAATATAAGTTTTATTGCGTACAACTACAGTAATTCTTTGGATGCACATCCATAGCTGCGCATTCAACTCTGTAGTGGTGTTTCCCAGGTGCCAACGTCAGTAAGACGATGACTGGGGCTAGTTGGTTCATGTCGAACTTACTTATTCACCAGTATTATATTTAAAACAGCACATATCGTAGACTTTTCTGATAGCTGACTCATATTGGCCTACTTCAGCATGCTGGGAAGCTATCTTATAAGTGACCTAGAAAAGCACACCGGGCCCATGCCCCCCTCCTTCTGTGGGGGGGGGGGGGGGGGGGAGTGATTCTTAAACGAAAAGAAGAGAAAAGTGAGTACTGCCTACTCCACGGTATCGTATATTTTGTTAAGGTCGACATCTGTCATTGGTATCGTGAGCTAAGACTGCTACTTTACTTTATGGTATCATATCCTCCTGAATCAAGTAGACGTACCGGTTGATGAAGATGTGATACGTAGTATGACGCATAGTGTATTATGGCGCAGTGGAAACCTCACTGTTTTTGTTTGAAAATACCCCTTTCTTTGTTTTTGTTAACGCGAAAGAATTTGTTAGCTAGGTTTCAAAGAAGCGTGGGTGTTCGTTCCAGTGCGTCTCCAGTCCGGCCGTGATAGTCAAAGCGCGCACTTCTGGCGTCCGCAGAAGCCGTGTATAAAAAGCACGTGACCTTTCCCAGCGTAAATGACACAGGCAGCAAAAGAATTGGGCACTTGATAAATTACGAGTTGTGTTCGGCGAACTCCTTGTGCCCATTGAGACGAGGTTGGTCAAAACTGAACGCGATGCGCACGTCTATTTTCTTGCACGAGTGGACTAACCTCCATGAAGTACACACGCTGGGCATAAAGCGACGTTACGCAAGCAAAGCGAGGGTGCTATGGTGTCCATACCTATCGGTGTCCAGTGGCGCTTCTCGACGGCCACCTGGCGTCATGTCAGGGCAAAGACGGACAGACCGACGGACGTGAGCATGATACATTTTAATTTTAGAAACTGCCGCGGAAACTGCCAGCGACAGTGTTTGTTTAAAAGAAGGGAATCCTCGCAGTCCCTACTCAAAGGGGATCACCATAGCGCAAAGCAATACTCAGCATGCTGCGTAAGTACGCCGACGTATGCAACACACGGCCACCGACGTAGCATCTACAAAAAGACTACGCCTTAGTCCGCTGTACCAGTTTGCCTGTAACAAAACTCGGCAACAACTATTCGCAGTACCCCCCTTATAACAGTGACACGGCCGAACGAGATGGTCTTGTGTTGCGAGTCGCCTTGCAAACACGCTCTGTTGTAATGCGTGGCACGTTGCCTGTAGTGCTAAAAGCCACCAACTCCCCTCTCTTTCTCTTTTATTGCTGCGTTGAAATTCTGCACGGGATCAATGAAAAATGAAAAAAGGCAGATACTGTTGTTGTATACGTTGGTAAACGGAAATAATGTTTGTACACTTCTGGTTCTCTTGCAGATGCCGTTCCCGTTTGGCCTGTGGATGCACGCAGTTATTCGACTCGTCAGAAATACGTATCACATAAGCTGAGACTTATTGTGAAGCTAGTCCACAAGTTGCAAAAAAAAAAACACCAACTACTTAAAAATAATTATGACGTATTATATTTCCGGCTTCTGTTCAAGTGGGTCGAAAACTAGAGCATGGCCCTCGATCCTACCACGATGAAGAAGTAAATGCTGCCAAAGTTCATTTTATTACTATTCACAGAGAAATAAACGTTACAGTTACGAAATAGTTGAAATGCGTTAACGTATAAAAAGTTGCGATTCGCATTTAGCATTTGGCCCAAGCGGCATTTATGACATAATTAAAGTGGAGCGATGAGTGGTCAAGACACAGCAAGCTCGAGCACCAACAAATATCATCCTCGTCTTTCGTTGCGCTCCTACCTGCGCCTTGTTCATGTTACGAGGACAAAAAATTAATCCAAACGACGTGCAGCTTTTGTTTCTTGCTATCCCTTGACTTCTGCACTTGACACGTTACGGATGAGTCTGTCTTCAACAGACTCGTGGTCAGAGCATTCTGGGCCCATGGCGAAGCAGCACCTCTGCGTCACGCACCACGAAAGCGCTAGCGGCTGACTTTCTTGCGGGCCACGAGCCCGAACAAAGCTTTGTAAAAAGCGCAGTCTGCGTGTGTGTATGTGTGTGTACTTGTGCATATGTGTTGTGTATTTATCAGTGTATATATTATAATCATACCCCAGCATCTGGGGTAGCATGTAAGGCGGAATAGCCAAGAAAACATCTCCAACTTTTCATAAAAATATTTATCTATCTTCTGACTTACAAGTGACCAAGCCACCACTTCAGAAGCACTGAATGCTATGTGTCTGAGCTCTTCGAAATGTCTCACTGTTTATTTATGAACCTTCCTTTTACCGAGTAAGAAACGTCTGCTGAACTTGCCGCTATTTCTTCAGCACTTCTAATCACGCCGCACTTAGAGAGATGCGAAAGCCGTAAAAGTAGGGACGGCACGGATGGTGAGATAGCTACGATACATATCTCGCAGCGTAACAGTACCAGGTGACAAAATCCTTTCCACGACATGAAACCACCATGTTATTATGAATACTCATCTTTGGAGGAAGTAAAAATCAAAGTGAACGTGGGCCTTATTCAACAGAATTATTTGCTGCCAAACCATATCTACACTGCTGAATAATTTGCGACGGTGCAGCTTAACAGGAGTGGAGAAAGTCTGACAAATGTCTTTCGATCGCGGCCGCGGATTTCGATGGAGGCGAAGTGCTAGAGGCCCGTGTATACTGCGAGTGAACCCTACAGATATGGTAAACATTTCCGGAGCCTCCCACTTCGGTGACACGCTTCATCGTATCGTAATTTTGGGACGTAAAATTTGGTTATGTTAACAGTAAACGTCATCGATACAACGGATAATAGGTTACTTAAGTTCATCAGGATTACCTTTTATTTATTTCAAGGTACCTCACACGCCATTAAGAAAATTTAGATAGGGGGGCAATAAACAAAATATATATAACTATACATATCAATTTGGAGAAAGCACAAAAAAAACAATCGTAAAACAATACGTTTAGCAGAAAGCATTACAGTTCTAGATGTATCAAATATGCGCGTAATAGAAGAGTAAACGAAATGGTTCCTTTCTTACGGACAAGAAACGGAGCGGCTACAAAACATCATCTTTGCCTACGTAACTGTGGCAATCTTAAAAACGAGCTCACGCAAAAAATATGTTTGCAAAGCAGCTAAATATTAAGGAAATGAAGATTAACTACCACGCAAAATATATAGAAAACTACGCATTTATTGGTAGCAATTCGGCACGATGCATTTCCCGCACGAGAGAAAAGAAAAGAGAAATAAATTCACAGTTTGCGAAATTCGCAAGAAGAGAATGTCAGAATAACAGCAAAAAGCTGCTATGTTAGCAGCTTGACAAGGTTCCAAACCTCTTTTTTCAGCATCAATATCAATACTTCGCAGAGCACGCATATGAAGATGTATGGACATTGAGTGCGCACACAATAACACGCAGCAGTCAGTAGCTCTACCTGCGGGTTAATAGATGAGTGCGGTGGAATAAATATTGCCCATCAACAGCAGATGGCGGCACAGTATACGCATTTTTGAAAAGCGCCCTTTGAAAGAGTGCATGTGTGTTTAGGAGGAGTGGTGAACGATTTACAGTACTTGGCACTGTACTATGGGAGAGCTGAAAGCCGTCCCACGTGCTGTAAAATTCAGCCACACAGTGAAAGCATACTGTGAGAGTACCAAACAACCAATTTGGCTGCTCACGTTACATGCTCTGATTATCTGAAAAAATGCTCACGGCAACTGAAATGCGCTAGCGTGGTCCACCAGAGTTGTGTTACTTTTCGTACAGCAATTGTGCTCGTAAGCTCACTTCATTGAACAACTGTTTAACCCTCACCATATTGACTCTATGCCCTCACCACATTACTCCTCCTCCATTATTATGTATACATCACGTGCAAATCTTAAGCCTCAAATCACAAAAAGCTGTCATGAGGTCAGCTTCTCGCTATATTTCGCTCACTTTAACGCAGGGGTTCCCAAGCTTTCTGATCTTGCGTATACTTGGAAAAACGCAATGGCTTTTCCGGACTTTTTCTTGAGCATGAGAACAACCAAAAGCGGGAAGGAGAAGGTGGGCGATGAGTGACGTCTGTTGACGCTCTAAACATAGTATTAGCCCTGCTCGCGTTGCCTGTCGCCTTTAATATTATCATTGACGCAAAACTCCAGATCCACGTGCCGGTCCGCTACTCACCTAAAGCGATCACCAGTCATGCAGTGTATAGTTCAGAAACACCGCAGCGGGTGCAATGTTTCTACACACGAAAAAAACGCCAGTCATACAGATGCTTGTTGAATGTATTTATTATTTTTTGTGAAGGAAAAAATTCCTGGCAGTCACACAGCTAAACGATTGTTGACCGGTACGTCAGTCGTAAAGCTAAGCATGAATGCTCGGGTAGCCCACAGCCCGTACGAAGCGAAGCCTCTTAAGTTACAATTGCAAAACCTATATGAAGCAGATAACACACTTACGAAGCAGATAACACACTATATGAAGCAGATAACAGCACTTACGTGCCACTGCAAAGGCCGTGGCACGTAAGGGCGCACGGGATGTCTCACGTATCCAACCTTCACGCTAGAGGGCAGAGTCTCAGAATCAAATACTAGTTTGATGCAGCGAGACTGCCCGAAGCGGCGTATGGTCACGATTTTGACTGTTGACGTCACAAGATTCTGCAGGTCAGCGTCTGTGATGTCAGCGTCGACGTCATTTATCACGCCAGTCGTTGTTCCTTTCCCGTGAGCGAGAAACGCGCGAACTGAAATACTTCCGAGCTGCGTGACGGCCTTCAGTTTGTCAAGAATGGTTTTGTTTGTCACATCAACTGACAATATGTTTTTCCTGCTATTTATGCGAATTTCACTCACTTGAGCAGGTTCTACTCGCTCGAAATAATTAGTCAACGACTGCCTGTTTAGTGAGTTCAGGTTGTCTGATGTAGACATGGGTACATACGAGATGGTGAAACATTGCTTGCCTTTGTCTAGCGCCGGTTGTGGCTCCGCCGTTGATGACGTCCTGCGAAGCTTCCTTTTCAACCGGCGGGTATGGAATGTCCTGAAGTCGGCTTCCGATTCCATCTCTTCCACTGATGAGCTCTCGGTAGAGTCATCGCAAGGAGCATATGCGCCAAGGCGGTCACCCACATTCGGTCCATCCTTATGCAAACGGCTAGGGCCCGCTGTCTCGTTGGATGGATGGTCCCCCATCCCGGGGGGTGACGTCTTCCGTTCCGCTTGTTCAGAGAAAGTCAGGAATTCTGACAGTTAAAGAAAAAACGATAGTTGTTCAAGGCAGAATTACGCCCGAACGCACTTCTTCTTTCTTCGTCACAATCCCACCTGAAACTCGTAACTGTGTTTTGCACCATGCGGCACAATGCCCAGGCTTGTAGTATCTACGGTATCAGCATCTGTTTGTAAACTATCTAGGTTTCTGTATATGCTTGTAGGACCTAGACTTGTAGCTACGCCGTAGTGGGGTGCTTTGGAAATTTCGACCACACGGTATTGTTTAACGTTCACTGACAGAGTACAGGACACGAGCCCCTATCCCTCTGCCTCCATCGAAATAAGACCTCTGCAACTGGTATCGAACCGGCAACCTTCGGGTCAGCAACGCGGGCACCGTAACCCTGTACCACCGAGGTGGACAAAAAGTCTAAAATCGTATTTGTACAATGCATGTCGGTGGGCTAGTTCATTTGATAGCATTGTGGCAAAAAATTTAGGCAGATGTCACGTATCTTGGAAATCGATGTTATGCAAAGCATGCGAATGAAATGTACTGCGTTGTAATTTTTTATAGGCCAAAAAGTTACGAAGTGTCGTTTAAGAAATGTTCAAATGCACGCTGAGACACATGTTAAACAGCCGCATATATTTTATGTAGCCAGTCTCATTACAGTCGTTTTTTCTACAGCAACACGAGAAGCGGTAAGTTGACATGAAGTGCAAGTGCTCCCGGGGACGGCAGCCTTGGACACTGCTGTGTAGCTAAATTAACTTTAGTGGATGGCACCTTCCTACAATGGACGTTAACCCAACGTGATGGCTGTATCATAGGAGTATACATATGTAATCCTTATAAGAACTGATAGCCACTACTGCAACCACAAAACGTCTATCTTCTAGAAATACAAGACTTAACCAGAAATGTTTATTGGCGCCTGTTTTGGTCGTACTACTGCTTTCAAAAATAGTTTCACCAAGGAATATTGCTTACACAAACTCCTTACCAATAAATGCTTTTCGATCAGAGTATACTGAAAAACAACTTGAAGGTTTTTTTGTGTAGTTAAGTTTTGAATGACGTATGAATATGGCATGTTGGCAGTGCCTGAGTAAATTATTTGTACACTCATGCTGCGCATGAGTGTTTAGTTCATTGTTTATCTGCCGTAACACTGCTGGACAAGAGCTCTATAAGTCGTCTGATTATGT